TTTCAAACTTGACACCCTCATACTTGTACCCTGAGGGAAAAAATGAAGCAGAAACAGTCACAAAATGTAGCTGTTCAGAAAAAGCCCACACAGTCATATAATGCTGGGAGTTAAAACACTCAAACACTGGAGCCCACTGGTCAGAATTCAGAACTCTGTTTTTGTCTAACCTAGTCTTTACACCTGAATAACGACTTTGTTATTACAGAGAGATCCTCCTCACCTGTCGGTGTGGTCACTGTGCACTCAGAGTAGGGGAGCTGGTTCAAGCCCTCTTCAACTACAAGCCTGATCTGGTTTTTTACAACACAAACAGACTTTATTTATAAAATCTTCACACTCTTACAGCATACTGTATTAAAGTCATGATCTTACCAGTCGGTCTGCACAAAACACAAAATCTCCTCTGCTGGTTGTCCTGAAAATGTAAATATGAGTTTGATTAGATCATTTTAGATCAGGGGTTGGCAAACTTTTACTATGAAAAGGGTCATTTTCAAGCAATTCTTAACCTGTAAAGAACATCTGATATTTGCAATGCCTATTTATTTAAGCCATTTGTTATACAGTCATGTGAAAAAGTAAGTTTCCCCATGACAATATGTACTTCTTTGAAAACTTAAAGGATACCCCATGATTCAATAGTTTATTATTTAGCAGTAATTGTTTTCTGTATGGCGTTTTAAGTCTCTCACATCATTGTGGAGGAATTGTCGCTCACTTGTGGCGCACTTACAGTGCTATTTGTTCATTGAGGTTTGCAGGCATTCATATATGCACAATATTTTTAAGGTCCTGCCACAGAATTTAATTAAGGCTGAGGTCTGGACTTTGACTGGACTGCTGCAACATCTTTATTCTTCTCTTTTTCAGTCATTCTGTTGGAGATCATTGTCCTGTTGTGTGACATCAAGCTTTAGCCCATGGCCTGACATTTCACTGTAAAATACTTTGGCATATGGTCGACTAAGTGACTGCAATATGCTTAGGTATATAGCTGCAAAATAAGCTTAAATCATCACCCCTTCTCCACCATGCTTTACAGCTGGTATGAGGTATTTGTGCTGATGTGCTGTGTTTTGTTTTTCGGAAATGTGAACCCTGGCCCAACATTTTGTGGTTTGTTCAGATCAACTTTGAAACAACCCCCTCTGCTAGGTTATTTTTAAAGAGAAGATGTATTCTCCTGGCAACCCTTCCAAGCAAACCAGACTTGTTCAGTCTTTTTCTGATTGTACTGTCATGAGTTTTATCATACTAACTGAGGCCTGTAGAGTCTGAGATGCAGCTCTTGGGAGTTTTTACAGATTATCTGAGCATTGCATGGTTGTTAACACACACCTGAATGCTGAAGACCAGCAAATTGCCAAAATGTCTGCTTTTACAAAGATCCTGACAGTTGATGATGATCAGACTATCAGCACTGCATAGTCCTGTGGAAACTCTTTTTTACATGACTGTATGCATGTCATTTTTTAATTCTTATCATGTGTTAATGAAGAAGGCACCAACTATTATTTGGATGTTTGCCCATCAAAATACCAATAACAGTAAAAATGCAAATCTTTTACTACATGTGACTACTTTAAAGTGGGCTATTCATAATTAGTATTTTAACTTTTCGTTTTCATTACAATAATATCATTTTTGTTGCATTTATAGTTCCTAATGATCTATTTTTTAAGATACATGCGTCTCTGAACTGGTTGATACTCAGCACTGCTCTGATTCAAATAATCTTATTACTGCTTCAATTTCATCTCTTTTTGTGTGAACAGACGACAACTATTCCTGTTTGTATCAGGTAAAGTAATACAAGGTTATAACTACACAAGACATCTTAACAACTGTAAGATATGTTGGTTCTTTTGATACAATAAATTATTCTCTCCTTGAAAGGCTTAAAAAATGTTGTAGCTGAACCTGTTATGATAGTTACTATGACGTTTCCTTGAAGAAGCATCACTTGTTTTAGTCACAGGTAGAGCAGGGCGATATGGCCAAAAATATTTATCACGATATATATTTGAAAATTTGCGATAACGATATAACTGACGATATAATTGATGCGAGACAAAATACAACTCCACAACATTACTAGCGCAAAAAGACAACCTTCCATTTATTTTCACTTAAACAAGAAGCTGGTTTTTATGTACATTAAAGCTTTATAAAAATGTAACAGTGCAAATGCAAATGCCTTGCTGAAAGTTTAACCAAAAGGCATTTCCAGTAGAAATGGGCTGACATATCCTGAGCATAACCATGTATAATATCCACTGAAGTTAAAAAGAGGTGCTTTGCAACATTAAACTGCAGTGTGCAGTACGTATTTTTTGGACCATAAGGTGCACGGGATTATAAGGCACATTAAGCGAAACAAAGCAGTCAGATAAATCAAACTTTATTAAACTCATTCTTCTTGCTTCCTCCACTTCTGTACCATTGATTCATTAATGCTGTATTCTATCACAGCTGCTCTGTTCCCATGTTGTTGCAGTATATTAATGACTAACCTCGTATTGTGGATGGATTATCTCAGTTGTTCTTCTGACTGAAGTTTGGTCCGTTTACAGCATCCTGCCATGCGATTGCATTTGTCTCTAACTATCAGAAACCTTAACGTTAACTTTTTTAAGTGGAAAAGTGTTAGTCCTCCAGCTTCACTGTTTATATTATGCTAACATAGCTGTGTTGCTAGCGATCACGTAGCACATCATTAAATACCAGCTAGCCCAACTTCAGTAACCCTATAAACGTCACTGCTGTTTAGTTTCCTGTCTTCATTTATGTTGGAAGTGATAGCAGAGCTGTACGTTTGATTTTTTTCAGAAATCTCTCAGTCTCTCAGTCAGAACATGCTAGCGAAACTAGCGAGCTAGCTTCCGCTAGCTTCCTGCTAACTTCTAACTCCGTTAAATGTAATAAATTTTGTTTTCATGGATGCCTGGAAGTTAAACTTCATAGTTACACCTGGTAAAGCAGCAATGCTGATCGTTTTATTAAAGATGAAAGAATTTAGACAGTTTTTAACTCTCAGTGATGCTGCAGTGTTCGTTTGACCTGAAGGTTATGGAGTTTAGGACCCAGATTACTCCCAGATTTAAGAGCATCTTAGTCCGACAATAACGACGGCCGCTTGCATGTTCTGCAAAAAAAATGTGCTTTGTCGTGTATCTGACAGACAAACACCAAACCAGTTCCACATCACTGAAGTTGCACCATTTTTACAAACCAATTCTGGTTCATTTGTTTCACTCAACAATCGGCCATGTGCGTATGAAAACAAAGCCACTGCGCATGCGCGTTTTACTCATATTCTATCGCGATATTTCATTTTCCTATCGTTGCCTAACATTATACTGGTATTACCGTGAACGGTATAATATGGCCCAGCCCTAGTCACAGGCATGGACAATATTGCACATACTGTAGTTTCTTTCACCATGTTGAGTCATCATTGAAGCTATATGGGTCATTTCATATCAACTGACTAAATCTGGAAAAAAATCCCAGCCTGAAAAATTCCCAGGGTGATCATGAACTCAAATTTGCTACATAAAGTGAAGGTCGGAGATATTTGGCCAAAAAAATATGATTTACATAATTTAAGTAGCTCTGTAGATATAGCTGGTTGAAAATGCCCCCAACTTAGATAGATAGATAGATAGATAGATAGATAGATAGTCACAAAATATCTATCTATCTATCTATATATATATATATATATATATATATATATATATATATATATATATATATATATATATATATATATATATACACACACATTTAAAAAATAAAAAATATTTATATGAAAAAATATCTATTTTATGAGTAAACTTATAACAATATAGAGGTAAAATGTTGCAGTTTCTTTAATAAGAAGCGTGCCCCCCCCTTCTAACATTTGAAAGGAAATTGGAGATGGTCAGGCTGAAAGCATTTCTCTGTGCGCCCCAGGGTGGCTGTGGCTACAATGTAGCTGCCATCACCAGTGTGTGAATGTGTGTGTGAATGGGTGGATGACTGGATATGTAAAGCGCTTTTGGGTCCTTAGGGACTAGTAAAGCGCTGTATAAATACAGGCCATTTACCATTTGGTCATTTGACATATGTTTAAAGAGTGAGTTATTTAAACCTCACGCTTTGTTTTTCTAATATTACATCAAGATCTGAGATGTGCTATACGTTTGCCTGACCTATCTAATATCACTGCAAACTCTTTGACTTCCCCTGGAAATTTACATTCCATAAAATTTTTGGTAAGCTGCCTTTTTTGGCATACCTTCCTGGTTTTCTATTATAGTTCCAGTTCAGTGAAATGAAGAACAGCTACGTTTTTCCATTTACTAATTATAGTTTTCTACAGAGACCATAAACACAAGTCTATATTTTATATAAGGCTCGTTACTTGCTTTTGTACCACAACCACTATGCATATGGCCTGTGTGTCAGTAAACAAGAGCGGGGGACTCACTTGTCTCTGATTATTGTCTGTAATTCACGGATCTGGTCATTCAGAGGAAGCAGCTTAAGCTGGGGTCCCAGGTTGTCCTGGCTGTCAGGCTGTGTTGTGGCATCACTTGGTTCGGAGTTGGATACTACTGCAGGCACGCTGCTGTTACTGTTTGCAAACCGAACTTGCTTCATTGGGTGCTCCTGGCCACTGCTCACATTGTTCAGCTGCTGATTGTGGCATGGCATCCTGAGTAAAAGCAAGAGATATCTATGCTAAAGTCAGCTAGCTTCTTTCCGCCGCGCCACACACGTACTAACGGTGTGTCACAAGGAACACAACGTGCTCTGCCGTTAGCTTCAACTCTTAAACTTCGAGTAGCTACTGCACAGACACCCGCGTTAGGACTTCACTCGCAGATGTACAGACACCGAAACAGGTCGTGTTAAAAACAATTTCTTGCCAAAACGCAGCGATTAGAAAACCTGCTTGCCTGCTAGCTTTGACACGACGTTAAAGAAGGCCGGATATGACGTACCCGGCGTGTTAACTAACTGCCCTCCTTCCTCATACAACATGGCGCTGATGTTGGCACCGCTGAAATGCGGCATTCACTTTCAAAAACGAAAACTAGCGCTTCTCATTCGGCAGACGAGCTCGTATCATGTATGGAATAAAAGTCGTAATGAGCCGGGGGCTGGCCATGCACGCCAAAGCACATATCCGGTGAGTGAGGACGGGGCTGGTCAGAGAGGACACGGTGCTTTTAGCCACCAGGCAAGGGCAGAGAAAAAGTCTTTCTAAGTAACTTTCAGGAATGATACCTAGATAGATGATTTGTTTTCTGGTTTGTTAGAGAAACAGGCGGTTGTCATCTGTTAAAAGAGCCGTTTGGGTTTGCTTTAAGTAGCTGGCTAAGTAGCTAACCCTGCATTAACTTAACGACTTAGGTTACTCATGTTATGTCATAACGTCGTTATTAGTTTTGAATGTATGTCAGCTGAACGGAAAGCACGTCAAAGTCAAACAGGCTTCTTAAAAATACAGTTCAATATGTGTGTGTGTGCGCGTGCAAAGTCTGACGCCTGTCAAAGGTCCCAGTCACGTGTTATTGGTCTTTACTGAAAACTTAGATAAGACCGTCCCACCCTGTCAAACCTAGGGTAACTGTCATGTCACGTAAACGCGCTGTCATAAATTATTTGGCACATTTACTGTTTTTAGAAGTTATTCATTCTTAGCTCCAACTCTTCCAAGTTGTCACATTCCCATTTAATGTGTCTGACACTAGAACGGTTCACTCTCACCTCATGTTAAGTATGCCGTTCATCTGTCATCTTCACATGGCAGGTCAAAACAGATAAGAGGGATGTTTACAGTCGTGCTGTGTCTTATAGGAAATGAAAGTATCAAACATGTTAACCTATTTCACTCATAGTCACTGGAGTCTTATTACAGGGTAGGTTTACGCTCAGTTTGATCTTAAATGAACCATACAGATGCTGTGTTTTTAAGCACTCAGGTCCTGCTTGATCCATTACTGTGCTTCAGTGTGGTATATCCTGTTCTCGGTGTTTCAAAACGTTTACCAAACCTTTATTTAAAAACCAGTTTAGGCAACTTCTCTTCTGTTTGTTTGGTTTGCATAACCTTTGAACTCCGACTATGAATGCTTAAAAAATTTGCTGAAATCACACAATGAATTAAATATTTAGTACTTATTTGTTTAAATGATGTGAGCGTAGTGGTTTACCCATTTGCCTAAAGAGGTAAAAAAATCCTCCATTTGATTCTGGGAGGAATCGAATATAGAAGGGAAGTGCATCCGGAGTAAAAACTGTGACAAATCAAACATGCACAGCTGCTCTTTGTTTTACATGATGTGAATTTTGGGTTATTAAATTTTACTTGCTTTTATTTACTGCTTTACACTTTCTCTCTGTGTGGTAAACATGATTATTGAAACATTTAGGAACATTGGTAAAATCAGTGCTCTTGTGTGTTTCAGTCAAGTTCACCTCCACACCTACGAACGGCAACATGGAGCACCAACAGGAGCGAAAAAAGTCGTCAGATTTTGGAAGCTGCAAAAGTAAGTGTGTATTAAGAAATAATCACATATTGGCGTCCTGTTATTCAAATTAATTAATATAGGGTAACAGTGAATTCCCCTTCCACAGCACTTACAGGTGACAGACAAACGGACATGTTGGCACGGAAATGCAGGCGGGGGACTAAGCGCAGACCCAAAAAATGTGGTGAGTACGGTACCGTGTTTTAATGATTACTTAGTGAAACTTTTCATGCTTGGATGACATGAAACCTTTAATTTTTTTTGTTTGAAAATGCTGACCATTGTTATTCTTAAGATGACAAAACTAAACAGTGTCATATCTGTGAATCAGTTTGGTGTTACGCAGCCTTAAAGCTGATTTAAACTGCTGCATTGAATCTACGCTGTAGTTACATCATAATTGCAAATCCCTCTGAAACCTTATGCCGTAATCTAATGTACACCTACCTGGAAATGTAACCGCATGTTGCGTTGACACAGACTGTCTTATTGCTGGTCAAATGAGTTTTCTCTGTCAAATTGGGTTAGGGGGCTGAACTCTTAAACTCTTAATGGCTTCATTGCCTAATGGGCGAAACGCTAAAATAAGACTCCTGAGAATTTCACATATGTTATGTGACTTGAATAAAAGAGACATTCGTTTTACAAGAACTTGGGTTAGGTATTAATATTAACTCCACATTGAAGAGTTTAACTGAAAGCTGAGTTACATTTAATATTTCCAGATAAAACGAGTAACTGTAACGAAGTTGGGCCTTACAGAAACTTCAGTAGTGCATTAAACTGTTCATTTTAATCCTCCCTCAGCAGTGTCACACATTGCTGATTGTATTTGATTAAAAGCAGGTGCTGGGCGCACTTTCACTGTAATTTGTTAGGAGGTGCTGCCATACAGCAGCGTCGTAACATGGTGCCACCATATTGAGTGGATTAGAGGAATTAGTGCATATTCTCCGGCCTGTGGAGAGTCCCTGTGGCAGATGTGTGTTGGAGCGTGGGTAAACAGCTATGCTGGCACCAGTGGGCTCTCGGCCTCAGCTGGGATGACAGCCCAGGTATCTCGTGGGACTTGTAGTGTCAGACTGGATCCCCAAGTCCACCTGGAGACTCTGCTGTCATCGTGGCTGCCATATCTCCTTGGGGACTCCTGTTGACATTTGATGTTCTACGTGCGTGCCCAGAGAGCCATCTTTAGGTTACTGGGATTGTCAACACTGAATGCTAAATGTATGGTGTTTGCCAGTATTGCCCAGTGAGGCACATTAGACTGTTAACATAGCAGTTATCCCACATATTTTACAAGGTGTTCTATTGAATAAATAAAGTTTGCTGCTGTGTCTTTTACACAGCTGAAGGAGGTGAATTCAGCTCAAATCCTGTCTGCGATGCTGTCTTACGTGTGGCCGAAGGATAGACCCGACCTGCGAGCCCGTGTTGCACTCTCTCTGGGCCTGCTCGCTGGATCCAAGGTAAGCTTAATTTCTCTTTTATTTATTTTTATACATATCATATAAAGAGAATTTAATTAGTTTGACTGGTGATTAGCCACATTACTTGGACTTACCTAACAACAACTGATATTTTTATCACATTACTTCTGCTTTATGCTTTGTGGATTTGTTCCACCCTGAAGAAGAAGGTTAGCTAACAGCTAATGCCCTCCCTTGTGACATTAGGAGCCAGATATTCTTAGATGAAAGCAAGATACTTTGACAAAATAAATTCAGCTGATTGTAGACAGAGTTGTTAACTAGCACAAAACCCCTGCAGTCTTCACTCATCATATATTCCCACAGCTTCAGAGTCATTCTTGCATGTTGCTGCTCATTTTAATTTGTTACTGTTTTCAAAAGAGATGCATTTTAGAGAATTGGTAATTGGAAATGAGGATTATTAATTTCTCCCCTGGTAGATGTTTTAGGCAAGGACATCATCAGTATGTTAAGAAACAATTCGGTAAATCATGTACGTGGCTTTTCACAGTGAAACACAGTGACGAAGAGAGGTTATAATCCAAGGTTACCACTGGCTTCAGTTAAATCCACCATTATTAGTTATAACAGTCATCATAAAAATGTGTATTATATTTTACCAAAAAAAAAAAGATTAATCGAATTTGCAAATAATTTCAGCTCTGTTTAATTAAAAATGCTAAAGACAAGAAATCAGTTTTAAAAAGTGAGAAATTGTGTTTGTTTTGTTATGCATGCATGTGTCTTTTTTCAATATAATGTATAAAAACATGGGCAAAAACTTGAATGAATGCTAAAAATAATTCACACAAATACTAATTTGGCTTTTTGACAGCAGTTCAAGCAAGAAGTTTAAAAAAAAATTTTTTTTCTCAATATATAAAATCCAAAATATTTGATATTAAAATATTAACAGAACCTGGGGAAATCTGTGTGCAAAACCAGTGTTGAAAAGCCCTTTGTTTTTAAACCAATGTTATTGGTGTTACAGCAATGCTTGAACATTCTGATTGGCCTGGAGCATTATGGCATCAGGTTAAGAGGGGTTACCAGTTACACTGTAGATTTCCTGCTCATTTCAGGCTTAAGAGAGGGCACAAGGGTAAACGTGCCATATCCACACTTTCTTTTTGAAAAGTTATGCTGTCATTAAACTAAAAAACGTTCACAGATTTCCAGAAAAATTGAATTTTTGAAATTCAGTACGTGCAAAAATGTAAGATCTGTGAAGCAAGTGTCATGAAAAAATGCCAGTGTCAAGCCAAGTCATTTGAATAGGTCTAACAAACTCTGTGTTAGGAAATGCTTGGTTTTATTATTTGCCACCAGCTTTTTTTTTTGGCACTGTTGTTGTAGGATGAGACTGAAGTGAAAAGCCTGATAATGTGGATGTGAAGTGCTCTGAAGCCCAACAGATGAAATTGGGGCGTTCAGTATTGCATTCAGGACCTGCTTCATTCATTTTTAATGAAAACAAACCCCAACAAATAAACATTTACAACATGTAATTCTTGCAAGGGTGGCGTCAATTAGTCATTAATTATACCAGCATGTCATTACTTTGCAGAAAGTTGACCTGTAGCTTCACTTTTGTATACAGTGATTTTGCACATCCATTCATTTGCTTAACTGCTTATCCAGTTCAGGGTCATCGGGTCGAGCCTGTACAGCCTATCGCAGATGTCGTGCGACAAGGGGCAGGGTACACACTGAACAGGTCCTCAGTTTATTGCAGGAAATTATGCTTTTTTGTGTAAATTTGATGTATCGTCACTGTTTATATATCTTATTGCTTTTGGTTTTCTGTCATCCAGGAAGCAATTCAATTAATGAGTGTCAGGATTTCAAAAAAATTGTATCATTTTTGGCACACAAACAGCTGTACTGGTAGTTTTTTAGGATGAAGTTTTGCTTTGATCAGCTTGTTTTCTTAACTTTTTGAGAATTTACTACAGTGATGCTGTGTTACGAGATACAAGTGACTCTGTAGTTGTGTACTAAAAGCTACTTTCAGCTACTCACAAGGGGTCGCCACAGCAGGTAGCGCTACTGAAACACAAATTAAGCATATTAAAACGCTAATCTTTTTGACATATATATATTTATTTATTTTAAGAAAAAAAAATGTTCTTGCTTAATCAATTAACCTCTCAGCTCTGACCACCCTGTGTTTAAACATCATGAGTACTCACGATGGGTGATCACCTTTTGGTAAAGATCCCATGTGAAACTAAAACAGTCATGCATTTAAAACAGCGTCTTATGAAATAATTAATGGCATGCACCAATCATCGCGTGATGCATTCCCTCTTCATTTGTTGATGGTCTCTAATTTACACCCTGGAAAACAATCAGAAATTCACAGCTCCTCAATAACCGTGTCCTGCTGCCACTCAGCATGGCTCCCTCTAGTGTGTGCTAAAGAGGAGAGAGCTCATACATGCAATCCAATCTTCTCCTCCCTTTTTCCTGCTTGGCTGGAGTTAACCTTGATTTCTGCAGTATGTCTGTTTGAACTAAAAGCACCAGCAGTGTGGATGCAATTTTTAAATCAGCAGAATAATTATGCGGTTAAAGTGCATCACACCTCTGCAAGGGACATTATCGGTGACATTTTCATTTCAAATAAATGATTATATACTAGCTCTTGTTTTTGTTGCCCTCAAAGAAAGCCTTCTCTTTCTGCATGCCTTGCTATAAGCTTAAGCTAATTCTTTGTAGCCCGAAGCCTTTCTCCGCTACTTGACACAGCATCTCTATTATGGGATGACATACTGCGAGGTACAGATTGACATAGTGTCAATTTAATCTCCAGCATTGCTCGTTAATGGATTTGAAGAGCGCATCCAACCTTATCATGTATTAGTGGTAAAATTGAGGACATGTTTTGGCCCTGTGATAATAGGCTCAGGCTATTTTTGTGTCATGTTCTGTTGTCTTGGTAGCAAAGTGGCAGATATTGTTTTTCCTTGAGGGACTCAGAGGACTTCTATTGTCTGAGCATAATACCCAAGAGTATTAAGCAGGAACCCTAGAGATGTAGCTTTTGCACTTTAAATGGGCCATTATTAGGTGTCCTTCATACATCAGAGGTGGCACAGGTTTATTTCACATATGCTGGTCATATTTTATTAAATTTATACCCCACAGAATTCGATGGGGTAAAGGAACATAAAGTAACCCCCGTGTTAGAGGTTGAGATGTTCAAATGAAATGGTTTTTAAAAATGAAAATGCTTTGCTCTGTGATGCCGTGTTTTCTGTCTGTCCTAATGCGCAGCGGACCGCCCAGCCTGAGTCACACAGCTGTCCCTGTGCTTTTAATTAGCCCTAATAACCATTTCAATTCCATTAGCAGGAAGCACCAGCCTCCTCTCCAGCACCAGCACAGCCAGTCACAATGAAAACATATGCATGCATGCACACTACCCAGCATACCATACCATGCATACACATAACTGAATGCACCTGAATGGTAATCTTGGTTTTTACTTTGTAACAGTGGAGTTTTACTTTCTAGACCTGTGAGGTTTGCACACACAGAGACACCACAGAAAGCCAGAAAAAGAAGACTCTGGACACATATGTCAGTTTAATAGGCTATTTGAAACTGTTTCCTCCTCTGAGTGTTTTGTCCCTCTCTCTCCCTTCCCAGATCACCAATGTGATGGTGCCCTTCATGTTTAAGTATGCAGTGGACGAGCTTAACCAGATGTCGGGACACATGCTGAACCTAAATGACGCGCCAAGCACTGTGGCTACCATGGCAACGGCCGTGCTGATTGGCTGTAAGTCCCAGACTTGTATTGCACTGGCAGGTGCCGCGCTCATCAGATGGGACTGTGGGACTGCCTATTATCTACAGGCTGACCTTTCTCATCACATTCATATCAATGCCACGGCACAACCTCTGCTACTCGCTCACATTATTTACATTATGAGCTTCGTTCTGTGTCTGAGTTCCTTTTAATCCTCACGACCCTCTCGTGAGTGCTGAGGACGATCATGTATGATACCTGTGAGCTCTCAAGGCAAACAGAGGTGAATAGATTTATAAAGCAGTGGAGAAGAAATTGCAATGTCCTTTGAAAGTGGTTAGGTAGTTATTTTTTTCGTGCTGTGGCGAGGCCAGGGTTGCTTCTTTCACTTCTTTTTTTGGGGTCACCTTTTTCTTCTCTTTGTCTAAATGCTTCTGTGAGTACAAGAAAAAAGTCAGGAGTGAGATGTGAATGTGACGTGCCTTCCTGATTAGCGTAGGATTTCTGGGAACTGCTGCTGGAAAGCAGTATAAAATGAATAAACATGACAATACTAACAACCACTGTAAGTCACTGTGGCCTTCACTAAGATCAGCTTGTAAGCTCTGTATGCTAGCCCTGTAGCCACTTGTTCTAATAAGCCCACTTAGGTCTTATACACTAATACTACAGTTGAAGCACATGACGGGGGCTCAAGATGAGATGAATTGGGGTGACAAAGAAAAATGAATGAGGAAAGAAAATGAGGATGCTGTTACAAAAGGGAGATTTCATTTTTTTAAGATTCTTCTTTGTGACACAGAGGACACAGTGCTTGTAGGTTGCAGTGTCTGGTGTAATTTGGCTGAAAAGGGTGCACCGTGCTCATCCTACCTTGTCAGATGTGGACACATTGTTCATTAGATGAGCATTTCTATTTAACGCCACATTACAGCCCCACGAAGAGCGGCAGACAGAGCGATTATTGCCCTGACTTTGGTCTCAGCAGATGTGCCATGTATTCACACAACTCAGTGAAATCACCACAGGAAGACCACATGTCATTCAAACACAGACTAATATCAATTTGTGACAGTCATGCTAGCCATCTGCTTGTAAAACAATTTATGAGCAGTGTGAGAGCTCAGATGAACTGACTTTTCTTTTTAGTATTTAATTGGAGTTGCTATCGGACTGAACAGCTCAGTTTTCTTGCTGTATATTAATGATCCTTTGAAAAAAAAATCTTATTATTGGATAATTTCTTTAACATAAAGACATGCTTGCTTCCACTTCTCTCCTTCACTGAAAGTCTAGACGCTGCATTCAAATTAAGCCTGTTTATTGACAACTTGATCACACCTTAACATTTCATTCTTATAAAACCTTGTCTCTGTTGCTCTGTTCTGTCGGTATACACGCTCAATGCCTTGCTGAACACTCGGATACCCTCCCTCCCTTCAGTCTGCAGTGAGCTGGCCTGCTATAGTAGTGAGGCTTCAGACAGCATTCTGCTTTGTAATTACAGAGGGGAGACTGCTGCTGTAGCATTGCAGGGCTTGCAGACCAGAGATGATGCGAAAGACTTGTCTTGCCACCTCATACGATCCGTCTCCTCAGAGTAGTCAATGAGCCTAAAACCTGTCTAGTCTTAAGTGCCTCAATGTGCTGCGTTCTGTTTAATAGGACAAGACAAGTGTGGGTCATATTCTTGCTTTGCTGCCTTTTAACAGTCTCCCGTGCTCAGGATGGCAATAGTTTCTCACTTTCTGCAGTTTAAACCTCCCTGCTTTTCACAGCAGGTGTCCTAAACTCTCCATCTCCTCCGCTATCCCAGATGGTGCCTCACGGGCTTGTGCAGCCTTCTTCAACGAGCTGAGGAACACCGTGTTCGGCAAGGTGGCCCAGAGCTCCATCCGACGCATAGCAAAGAACGTCTTCCTGCACTTGCACAATCTGGATCTGGGTTTCCATCTCAGCCGACAGACAGGGGCGCTGTCCAAGGCCATCGACCGCGGCACGCGGGGGATCTCTTTTGTCTTGAGCGCACTCGTCTTCAATCTCGGTCCCACGGTCTTTGAGATGGCCCTCGTCAGTGCCATTTTGGTGAGTTATAGGTGTAAATGAAGACACAAACTACCACACAGTGTGCTTATGCATTCTTTTTCAGCTTTTACTTCTTATTGGTGTTGCTGTTTCAGGATTGATGTTAACATCACCTTGCCACTCCTCATAGCCGATTTCCCGGAAATTAATTTCACAGATACTATCTCATTTACATTTTAAATGGAATATGAATCCCTGTGAACTTTTGGTGGGCCCATTAGTGCTAATGATGAAACCTAAAGCTTTCTTGCATCTTAATGTCCTCCTGTGGAGTGTGCCCTAAACAGATGCCCCTTCTTCCACTGAAAGATGGGCTCATCTTTTAGTTCGTGCTATCACTCCACTGTGGATGATCAGATTGCCTGTAACAAGTGCAGACTCCACTGGCCAAATAGCTAAAGCGTCATCATGAGTACTTCTTGTCTTTTCCTATTCATTTGTAACCATTGCTTTCACAGTGGAATGATCAAAAACAATACCCTCTGAAAGTACCGTGTGACGCTAATAGATTGGTCTGATGTGGTCTCTTGACTTTTATCACAGTGCTGTTGAATTACAGCATGTAAAAGATGCTTCTTCCTGCCTGTGCTTTTCTCCTCTGCAGTATTACAAGTGTGGCGGACAGTTTGCAGCAGTGGCCTTGGGTACCTTATCAGCGTATACCATTTTCACAATTCTCGTCACACAGTGGAGGTAGGATTGATGTTTTTTCTGCTTTTTTTCTGTGTCTGCCTGTTGTTCAGATTTGTAATCGCTTCAAAGAGATTCGGTTAACATTTCTGTGGCTCTCTGCATTGTAAAAATGCTCACTTTGAAATCCACAAATCAGCCACGATTAAAGCCATCGACAAATTACATAAGATTGATTACAATGCAGTGTTCTGCTGTGAGACCTTGGGTCCTAGCATCGATGTGGTTGTTTCTTAGAAAAGTCTCAACCACTTACAGAATGTTTTTGAAATTGGATGAATATGTTAAAAAATGTTTCTTGGTACCAGAAACTTTTTGATTTCCAATTACAACCAGTTTGTCAGACAATGTTTATCTATTTGCAAACAAAATCTGCACAAATTCAGTTGGTTAAAAGGACTCTGACTACAAAGTGGTAATCAAAGACCAGAGCACACAACTGGAATATTTTGTGGCTACACTGAAAGCTATGAAATATTAGCTCTTTGCTCCAAGAGGCTAAGCCATCAAACGATAGTCGATGGTTTCCCAAATTGCCTAAATTTTGCCACCAGCCAAGTACAGCCTCCTTGTCAGCACCTCTGTCTGATAGTAACGGCCTCACATTGTCCACCCACGTTGGATAAACTGCTCATTAACTGCTAGAACATGACAAAGAGCCTCTTTTTAAAACTTCTCAGAGCCCAGTCTGTTCGAATGCTCATGAGATGTATTAAAACAAGCCTGATCCGTGGCAACACCAACCCATTACACATAAGGATTCGCCAGAATTTGCACCAAACTCCCGTTTTCTATCATTTTTGATAGGAAAAAAAAAATCCAATCACTGTTTTGATTTTCAGTTTGTCGATAATGAAATGCATGTAATAGCATTTCATTTTCAAAAGCAACTTCATCGTGGCAATAATGAGTAGACCAAATTTACAAGCTGTGCATTACTCACATTAAGGACTGGAATTACCAGTCACACTGAAGCTATTATTTCAAAGTAGGAAGATTTCTCCCAGGGAAGAGAGTCAGCAAGACTCTACTCTATTAAGAAAGAACTCCTGTGAACATTTAATTGATACTGTTGCATGTAAATTACTTAACCAAATAAATTTCAAATATTTACTTCAATGGAGCTCCAACTGCCAGTGTCACAGTCCGGAAAGGTCCATGACCCGGGTTTTTGTACTGATGCAAGTGACTGCCATGTTGTTCATGTGTCTGTGCACACAGGACTCGTTTCAGAATAGAAATGAACAAAGCAGACAACGAAGCAGGCAATGCAGCTATTGACTCGCTGCTCAACTACGAGACTGTTAAGGTGAGTTTTAAATGCCCCACACACACGCACCTGTACACACCTACCAAATCTGCTCCTTGAGGTGACTTTGACCAGGCACATCGATATTAACAAATGTGTATGTCACCATCTAAATATTTATATTATCTATTTGAGGTCTATAATACAGTGGCCCTGAGAGGCCAAACACCAGCAATAAGAAAAACGCTGCAAAAGCACTCAAACCTTGGCTTGGAGAATGGTTGTTATTATGTTAGACGAAATTTCAGGAAAATGATTTAAAGCATGCTTTTGTATATATGTATAAGGTCAGAATGTTTGTAAAACATGGATTAATTATTTCAGAATCATTTTTATCTGTCACAAAAACCTCAAATTATCCCAATTCATAGACTTGGAATTCTTTTGCATTTCTACTTGAATATATCAAAATATTTGATTAATTCTCTGTTGGTTATTCCATCAGCTATTTTCTTTTCAGCTCTAACACATTATAAAAGCATAATTTCCTGTGTTTTTACTTTTCTCATATTTCTTTGTCTTCATTTCTTCCTCTTAATTCTCTGCGGCACTCTTCTTCTCAGTATGAAATTGTCCACCATTTCTGTAAATGTCACTTCAGTAGCTACAAACAATGAGACATTTATCACCGGACACTCAGGACTATTTTCACGGTTTAGTCAATGGCCCAAATTGTGTCCCAATTATAGTTTTGGACTGAAAGGTATCTGCCACTGGGGGCTTTAAAAATATAATAGAAATGTCATCTGAAGTCCTGGGTGGTTTATGAGTGAGAAAGAGTCTCACCTGCCTGATGTGATCAGTAAAGATTACTGTAAACTTTTCTCAAGGTCACATTACCTTAAAACTCTATCTCGTTCAGTTTTAAATCTCTTTTTAGGCAATCTTTTAGTACACAGCACAAACACAAACATAATCAGTGTCGCGTTTCATTGCTTCGTTGGCCGTTGCAGATATATTTTGGATACCATGTTATTTTCTTTGCCGTATTATTTTGCGTCCTGTTTTTCTTAACGTTTTGTTCTGTGTTATTTTGTGTCATCTGTGTCAATGCGGCCGGATTTAGCATCACTCTGAGCTGTGAGTGTGCATATGTAATTAGATCTCCGCCCACTCAGAAATCCGTTCCACTTTCACAAAGGGCTGGATGAGAACCTGAATACGGCTCCTTGCACTGCTTCGGTTTGTCCTCCATGCGCTACTTTCTAGTCTCGCTTATTTGGTGCATTTCCTTATATGCAAATCAGTGGCAGGTCTGTGTCCGCACAGCACCACTGCCGTTAGCTAGAGAAGCAAATCGCCCACTTAACCAGAGCAGAGAAACAATGATGCAAGCTAAACAAACAGCCGTGCAGCAACAATATTAGGTAATTGGCAGCAGAGTTGAGGAGGATTGTTATGATTATATTGTTGTTTTATGTGCCGAATTTAAGAGATGTGCAGGAGAGTGCTGGTGGCTGAGGCGCTTTCTTTTTTCCCCCCCTTTAAACGATAGCTGTATGTCTTAATCAGAATTAGTGCTGCTTGTGTGGTGTAACACTTAAAAGAGCTATGTGCACTCCGTTAGTAATCTAGGTGTCTGTGTAAGCTGCTACAGATGTAAACACAGAGGATGATGACAATGTCGGTGATGAAAAATCTGCAGCAATTCTTGTTTAACTTGCACGGGATGTTTAGGCTTTTCTCTCTCTTTTTTTTCTTGTTCCAGTTGTCGAATAGTTGTAAAATTTGTTGTGATTCTGCTATTACTGTTTTACTGCCAAATCTTCACCATGCAAAGATAAGGCAGCTGTATTGCTTTCCACATCCTTTAAAATCTAACGGGAGCAGATTAAGAGACAGAGACATGAAAAAGTGCTTTAGAGGCCAACTGAGACCCAGACTATGCCCAGAGCGGTCACAGAGAACAAATGCAGCCTCGAGGCAGGCTGCGCAAAAGTGTCTATCTGGCCGACACGGCTCTCCATGCTTCCTTAACCTTTAACCATTACCATATTTGAGTCTCTCCCTCTTTCACTCTCGACTTACTCTTTCATTCCTTTTGTGAATGTTCTCATTGTCTCCGTGGCCTGTGCTCTGTGTCTTAATACTTCTCATCTCTGCTGCAGTATTTCAATAATGAAAAGTACGAAGCTGAAAGGTATGATGGATTCCTGAAGATCTATGAGTCATCCTCTTTAAAAACCACGTCCACACTCGCCATGCTCAACTTTGGTCAGAGTGCCATCTTCAGCGTCGGCCTCACCGCCATCATGCTGCTCGCTAGCAAGGGCATTGCAGCAGGTGAGTGTGGAGCTTGGAAAGGTGATACGTAAATGTCTGTTGTGGGCTTCCGATTTCTTTTGAGCCATAAATTGAATTGGATCCATGTGTAAAGGTAAAAAAAAAACCCAAAAAACTTGCTAGACTGACTTGAGCTGAATATAACTCTTCATGCCAATGATTTGTGGTAAGAACACAATGGAAATAGGGTTTAGACATAAATAAGTTTAAACATCTCAAAACAAAATCAAATGGACCGATGAAACTGGAAAAGAAAAGTAAACTCTGCCTGAACTGCATAATAGAAACTAAATGAGAACAAAACACAGCAAGCATGAAAAAGTGGCATGAATAGGATATAAAATAGCTTTGATGCAGAAATTGAAATCACAGGGGGTGGAGATGGTTTGTCTACTTTCTCAGCTTGAAAGAAAGAGAAGGAGGAAAAAAAGGTTTGGCTGTTGTTTATTTTTTTGGATCTTGCATCCAAAGACGCATACATGATACAGTAGAGCGAGAGCATGTGCATCGCTGTAAGCTGTTCTGTTGCTTTTCTATAGGTACGATGACGGTGGGAGACCTGGTCATGGTGAACGGGCTGCTCTTTCAGCTCTCCCTCCCTTTAAACTTCCTGGGTACAGTGTACAGAGAGACCAGACAGGCCCTTATAGACATGAACACTCTTTTCACTCTGCTCAACGTCGACACCAAGATAAAGGTAACTTATCGGCCTGTCACGCGCTTCTTCACATTTATTTTTTCTCCTCCTGACGGTAGAGAACGGAATAGGTGAATCAGAGCAGAATAAATGAATCTCCACAGAGTTGAATCTTAAAAATTGAAGATAAAGGCAAGTCCAAAATGTGATGAAGCCTGTTACCCATCCATTTTCTCCAGCAGATTTTAAAAAAAGAAGCGAGCGGTAAAAGATTTTAACAGCAGACTGAGTTTCTCTTATTGCTGCATGACTAACCTATGCACGTGTTGTAAAAAAAATGATGGGTTGCAGTCAAACATAGTAATTACGTGCTTCATGTGACTCAGGTGCTTCCTCGTCTATTGCCACTTGTAGTGCATGACATTGCTCGCTGCATTAATGCGATCAGTTTGGGGATATCATGGGAATTTCTTGTGGATCTATCGGCTGCTTACTTAGTGATTTATTCAATGTTTTTTTAATTAGAGCATCCATAATTTAGTCTGAGTTTTGTAGTATATTAAAAGCTTTCTTTAAACCCCCTCCAAAAAAACTAGGCCTTGTTTGCCTTGTTTTTATAGTTAATTTCACTCCAGTGTTTCAGTTAATTTGTTGTGTTGCAATTATCTGTTGGACTATACAAATGATAAACTTGTTAACTTGCCTAATATTTGTGTTGTGTTCCAGCGCAATTATTGATTATGACTAGTGGTAGCAAAACAGACAGAAACAAAGGAGTGTCAGTGGGGAGAAATGAAAGGTCAAACTGCACTTAAGTGAATGGCTTTCTGTTAAAATTGCTACACTCATATAATTTTGGTCATTAGTGATTACTGAGTGCGCTTTCAAAGCACGGTATTGGTCTGTCTCATCCTGTGGTTACAGGAGAGGTTGAAGAAGCTGGCAGCCTCTTAAAGTAAATTTTTTGCCTTGTTAATGTTTTTTTTGTTGTTAACAAAAGCCACTTCTGCCTGCAGTGCAGCTTTCTCAGTGTCTCCTTTATTGTTCCCCTGCCAGCTGAGGGTGCAAATAACAATTCTATCAGTACTTCCTGAAAAATGACTAAAATAATGAAATAATTGTGGGATTAATCTACCACCAGTGCACAATTTCATCCTATAGAAATTAGGAACGTTTAGACAGATCCTGCTCTTTAAATTATAAAATGCCCAACATTTGTACAATTTCTAATCTGCAAACCTCATATTTATTTGATTTTCTTATTTCATGGGATGTTTCATTGTATGGATCGTTTTCCTTTCTTTGTTTTAGACAGCCTATGTTGCGTCAGAAGAGTGCACTTAAGTGCAAATGGGCACCTCCTTCCTAACAATACAAAGGCCATTCTCATCTGCAGCCTGTAATTACAGTCAGAGAAATGAATCTGTCCAGTTACTTTTCTCTCATCAGTAATATTCCTCTCCATTGTAATTCCCAGTGGAATGGCGCTGCCCAGCAGGCCATTACTGTCTGAGTATGTGGGGGTTTTGTTGGGGTCTTTTTTTGGTAACACACTGGCCAATTATGTAGATGTAAAAAAAATTTAAAAGTCTCCCTCTCTTGAAGCTGCAACACTAAATAAAAGACAAATTATTTTGGCTTTTTTCCCATGTCGCAGGGTGTGAAATTATCATCTGTTTATACTAATGGACTGAGAGTTATTTGTATTAATTGACTGAGGTGGATAGTGTGTGATTATGTTGCTATTAGGTGGTATAGACATTGAGCAGAACATGCTTTTACTCTGAAGCTAAGGACAGCGTTTTATTCACTGCTGACCTTGGCTGCATCGCCGCACTGTGACTGAGCTCAGTATGTACCGAAAGTTTTCACGCCTATTGATCCTTCAATCACTGTGAAGGGCAGCGTGTGAAGATTCATACGGCCTTTTTGAAACGACCTCTCAAATTTGCTGTGAATGTCTCGCTTTATGCAGTCCATGTAGGCTCCGTGCTCCAGCAGTATGCCTCTTTACAAGGTGTTGGAGTAATGTTGCATCACGTTAAGCCTTCTCTGCCAGTGGCTGTTCTGGATCCTTCCTTCTTTTTCCATTTTGCCTGTCTTAACCCTCTGATGGTGCGCTCTAGGAGAAGGATCTCGCCCCACCATTAACCATCACACCACAGGAGGCCACCATCCGCTTTGAGGATGTCTATTTTGAATACCTGGAGGGCCAGAAAGTCCTAAACGGAGTGTCCTTCGAAGTACCTGCTGGGAAGAAGGTGGCTATAGTTGGCGGCAGCGGGTCGGGGTAGGTAACCTTTCCGAGATCTGCGCTGTACGTTAAACCTTTAACCCAGCCCGTGTCATCTTATTTGCATGTCTTAGACAGTCTTATCACATATCATCAGTAGAGTGGGGGGTGTAGCTCCCCCAGCTCACAGACAGAAGGATGCTGACGATTGGTTCCATGTCTGGTTGCAGGAAGAGCACCATTGTGCGGCTTTTGTTCCGCTTCTACGAGCCCCAGCGGGGGAACATCTACATAGCGGGGCAGAATATCCGAGACGTCAGCCTTGACAGCCTGAGGAAGCTTTTGGGGGTTGTTCCTCAGGTATGAGAAAATCCATCACAGAAATAAACAGAAATGAAAAAGTGTTTTTATCAGCCACACAGAGATTTTTATTTATTTTATTTTGTGTTTTTGGCGGGGGTGGGGTGGTGGGGTCTGAACCTTCTCCTCCTCAGAAGAAGCACATGGACCTTTTGTCTCTAAGTGGTAAAGGTAGTAATATATTGTTAGTGATTAAGCACAACAAGGGGGCAGCAAAGAACAATGTAACATTAACCATTAACAATAGCATTCAGAAATGAGCTGAATTCAGTTTGGTTTTCACTGCAGTGAGCTCAGAGGCTGATCTGAACAGATGGTACATGCACATATTTTTGTCATTTGCTTCCTTCACGTTCTCCTTCTTTGTAACTGCAGTCTTCTGTTTCTTTCACTGCTGCAATTAAAAAAAAACAAAAAAAATAATCTCTGAAGCCTTATTTTTTTCTTAACTGTGTTTCTGTCAGGATGCCGTTCTGTTCCACAACACCATCTTCTACAACCTGCATTACGGGAAAATCAACGCCACGCCAGAGGAGGTCTATCAAGTAGCTCGTCTAGCAGGCCTCCATGACGCTATCCTCAGGATGCCCAATGGCTATGACACCCAGGTTGGGGAGCGGGGCCTCAAGCTGTCAGGTTAGCTGCATCATTATGCCTGCTGTTTAAGTACGCTCTTTCCATGCAAGCCACGGAAAAGCCTTGTTTTGCTTTTTTCTGGATGGTATACTACACTGGAAAAAAGAAAATCACACCCATTCTCTTAATAATTTGCGCGCTAATAGTTCCACATTATAATATAGTAGTTATACAGAAATCTAAGACTGGCTGTTTCTCTTGTTTGTTTGCTTTTTATTATTTTCACTGAGGAGTATCCACTGGTTCCATTCATTTATTTTAAAATCACACAAAAAAAGAATGATTCATGACAAATGGAATTTTCTAAGAAGAAAAAAAATGGGCTTCTTATTTAGTTATTTATGTTCAAACAGCTAAAAGTCCAAAATCAAAACCATTGTTGAAACCATTTGTTGGAAAATGTTATAACAATACATGTTTTGAGCCCTATTTTGCTTAATCAGTTATCAACTACTCTTTTGTTTATGTTATTTCACTGGATTGTAAATTGTATAACTTTATAAATGTTTAATTAATAGCGAAAAATAGATTTTTTTTCTAAGATGAAAATATAAACGTAACACAGTTTAACTGACTATATACACTTAGAAGCCACATCATTAGGCACGTCTTGCTAGTACTAGCTTTGACCTCTTTTTTTGGTCTCAGAACTGCCTCATTTCTTCATGGGATGGATTCAGAAACATGCTGGAAACATTATTTTGGTCCATATTGACATGAAAAGATCTCACAGCTGCTAAAGATTTTTCAGCTGTGCATTCATGATTGGAATCTCTCGCTCTACCACATCTCAATGGTGCTCTGTTGCATTGAGATCTGGTGACTGCGAAGGCTGTTTAAGTGCAGTGGAATCACTGTCGCGTTCAAGAAACCAGTCTGGGATGATTTGAGCTTTGTGACATGGCACATGTTATCCTGCTGCAAGCAGCCATCATAGGATGGATACAATACGGATACAATAGGGATGGGTATCGTTTAGGTTTTATCCAACACCGGTGCCAAACCGGTACTTTTGAAACGGTGCTTAAATGGTGCTTAAACCGGTGCTTAAAGAATGGAGAACACAAAATCGGTCCAAAAACCTCTCATGTTCAGCTGTTTTTTTGTAAAAAGATAACAATGTTAGCCTTTTCTGCAGCTATGGGGCATATATGGTATCACTCTTGGCTGGAAGCAGTGCTTAAACAATGGAAAAAACGCAAACTTTATCCAAAAACCGCTCATGTTTAACTGTTTTCCACTTTTTCTTTGGTCATTTTAGCCTTTTTGGCCAGGGTGAAGGGAGTATCTGCCATCAAACAAGAAGACAGCCGCATGTAGCTATGATGATGTTTGCTAGTTCACCTTACATGCATTAATGTAATAACGTGGTTAGCATACTCAACGTAAATTACACATGAACAACATTAAGCTACTCACGCAGAGAAGAACGGCTGCTGCTGCATCATCATCTGTCATCATTTCTGCTACACTGGCAGGGCTAGGGGCCAGGACTCTCCTCTTCGTGTTTTTGGGGGATGTTGCTAACTCCGGGTCCGATAACAGGCACCACACCCGCAGCTCGGTGTGAGGTCTCACAGCAAGCTATCAAATACGGCGCATTTCTCGGCTTTTAAAAAAAACGCTATGCGTCGCCAGGTGTTTCATCGGATTTGAGGTGTTACCTCCTTTGACAGTATCAGCTTAAAGCACTTGTTACAGGCTGCTGAGTTTGCATATTTTGCTGTGAAGTACAGCCAGACTTTTGACCGCTTTGCCGTGGTCATTTTTAATCTGTAGCTCTGCTCTAAAAGAACGTACGTACCTGGCCCCGCCTACTAGCCTCAGAAACGTAAAATGATTGGCTAGAATCTAAAGTGTATCACAGCTCAGGAAAATAAAGCACCGAAATGTGCGCTGCTTTTCAGTCTGGTTACCGTTTATGTCAGATGGCACCGGATACCGGTACCCATCCCTAGTCAGCAACAGTACTCAGGTAGACTGGTGGCTTTAAACCATGCTGTGTTGGTATTAGCAGGCCCAAAATCTGCCACCATTTCACCCCATCACTAGTCTGAACTGTTGATACGAGTCAGGATTGTGCTGCTCTTCTCTTCGTTGCCTTCCTATCAACTCAGAGCAGTCTGACTATTCCCCTCTTATCTCTGGCATCAACATTTTCATCCAGAGAACACAGGATATTCTCTCTCGCTCTTTCTTTTTTAAGATCATTCTCTATAAACCGTACAGATGGTTATGTGGGAAAATTCTCAATATATCAGCAATTTGTGACCAGCCCATTTGACACCAACAGCCATGCCACGTTCACTGTAACGGCTGCTCAGTTTGAACTTCAGCAGGTCATCTTGACCGTGAAGTAGGGCAGAATAAAGAGATGAAGCAATAAGTTCTCATTGTTATTTAAGAGTTGCACATGTTGTAGCTTTTCTTTCAAATAAATTCTGTTGTCTTTGTTATCAAATTCAATGAAATGAGCACATTGTTAGAAACATTAGTTTCAGCATAGTATGTTTATATGAAAGTACCATGAATGAACCAGGAGCATTGTATCATATAGCTGCTGAGCTGACTTTCCTGACATGTCGCCTCTGAGCATGGCTTTTTGAAATAGTTTTAACTGTGATTAATCTCTCGCTGTACTGTCATTACTTCAACATTTTCTTCAATTTAGAGTCTGAACTTGTTTAATGGCATGTTGCCTTACAGTTAGTCACCCTCATTTGATCTACACATGACTGTGTAGTATTAGGTTCCTAGCATCACTGTGCAACTCATTTAGCCCACGTAAACACACATAGTGTGAGCATTTTCACTCAGCATTCAAGATGCAATTACTGGCAGCACAGATTTCTTTATGTGGAGTGACAGAGTGAGTGAGAGAATGGACAAAATAAAGACGTGACTAACTTCTCATTAATTTCACTGCGGCTGTACGTGACAGCTGCCTGTGAGTTTGCGAGAGGAGGAAGGGGGTGGGGGGTGGGGGTGGGGTGGGGGGACGAGGAAGGAGGCAGTCTGGGCTCTCAGACTCCTAACTTTCTTCATTTCTGTTCTCCACTGCCAGCAGTATTTACTCTCCCCGAACACCGCTCGCTTTCAAGTGGCCGCACACGGCTCATATGTAATAAAGGCAAAGTCAGGCACAGCGGGAGAAATCTTTGCGTCCTGCTGATTTTTCTTCACAATTAAATCAGGTCTGGTTTTTTTTCCTTTCTTTTTTTTTCTTCTTCCTTTTCTTACCAGACTGAAACGTGTAGCATTGGTATAGTCTAGGTGTTGGCCCTCAGTTTGAGGTAATTATCTAGCGAGAAGGGTCAGACAGAGACTTGCAGTAACGCGTATTTCAAAGGTTTTGGCATTCGCCTCGCTATTTATGACGTCTGGTTTGTTCCAGGAGGGGAGAAGCAACGGGTCGCAATCGCACGGGCGATACTAAAGAATCCGCCCATCCTCCTGTATGACGAAGCAACCTCCTCCCTGGACTCCATCACTGAAGAGGTCAGTCTGACAGTGACAGACACTAGCACCAATTTCTAATATACCCACAAATGCCCGCTCCCGGCTGCACGCACACATTAGCATGTCTGCATACACATTTAACAGAACAAACACCCACTCAGTCACCTGCTGTAGGTACACAATAATTCAGCTCATTCCTGCGTCACATACCTGCTGCGACATACACCCGCTGCACACACACACACACGCACGCATACCACCCCCATGTTCTCCCTTGCCACCTGCCACTGTTTTCTCCTACTTAATCTCCAGCTCAGCTTAAACCACACAGTCTTTGTAAATGTTACATTTAATGAGAAAGTTCAGCACGCCCTCACTGAACTTCAGGGAAAAGAGTGGGGCAGTAGACGTGGTTGTTAATTGAGTTTTTTATTTCCTCTCTCTCTTGCTTCTCGTCATGATGGTGTTTTTAAATTATCATATGTAAACACTGCAAAGAAAAAAGCATATGGAGGTGGATGTTGCTGAGCAACATTGTGTTGACTTAGCTTCTCTTTCAAATCAAAGTTTGCGAGTACATTTCATATATTTCCTGTCATTCATGCTCTCTTTTTCCCCCCCCTCCTCCCTTTCTTTTCAGACCTTTGTTATTGCAAACTTGGAAATATTTTCCTTTGGATTACGGGGGTACTCTTGTAAAGCTTAACAGTGTAGTAATGTTATTTGTCCTTGTGTGCATCCAGAACATCCTGACTTCAATGAAGGAGATGGTGAAGGACAGGACGTCTGTGTTTATCGCCCACAGGCTTTCCACCATCGTAGACGCAGATGAGATTATAGTGCTCAATGAGGTGAGAACTCAGCCATTTATTTTTTTTACTTGATCTCATTCTGCCCTGATTAACATCTTCAGGTGTAATGCAATTTCATACGACTGCTGAGTGTGCCCAAGTATAAACACACAGTGTGTTAATTGCCAGTCCAATTAGACGATTTTACATTGAAGGATGATGACCCGCACTGCGTGACCCCCAGTGCACCGCTTGTGCCAGCAACTAGAAATAAGTTAGCAAGTCGTCTGTCTCTCTCCTTTCTTTTTCTTTTTTTTTTTTTGGCACTCATTTATTTACCTTTCTTGAATGTACGTGATAAAAACATGCTTTGTTTAGCTTCTCTCATTAATTTCAACAACAACAGGACACTGTTGGTAGAAGTGAATGTATTATTTTCTCCATAAGGGCTCATTAAACCAGTCAGACTCAACTGGGTGTTTTGGTCAGATGGCGTGTCTTGTTTGTCTCGGTGACTAATAATGTATGGGCCAGCTTCCCAGACACTGATGAGGCCCTATCCACGACTAAACATGTCTTTCCGCGGCGCTCGCCATACAAATGGCTTTATGCGGTTTTTCGGTCAGATGCGTTTAAGTCAGGGTGGAGGTGAGCAGCGATACTTGGTGTGCTTTGCTATTGTGTGCTGCATTACAGAGCTGTCCCAGCTGCTTGGGCTCGGAGACGTTGCAGAGCACAACACAGTGAAGTCAGTTATTATCTGGAAAGAAAGAGTTCAAATAAAATGTAACACAGGTGAAGTGACATTTTCCGCCAGCGCTCGAGTCAGATGGGATAAAATGAGAAGAGGCTCTCTTTGAACTGCGGCGAGTTGAGCCTGTGCCGTTCGTGTTTCCCGAGTCAGATGGCGGGGATCAGAGGGTCGTGGCGAGGAGGCATGTTTGCGTGTGATGTCGCCACGGCGTTTGCTAGTGTCACCAGCAGAGGACTGCCTGGGGTGCTCATTAAAATAACGAGCGGAAGCAGTCACATGTTCATCCTGGGTGCACTAAAGATGATGCCAACACCTCTGCATGCTCATGGGCGGTGGGGGGAGGGGGGTGCTTTCATTTGTGTGTGACTGTGTGGGAGGGCTGTGTGGCATGTGTGTGGATTTGCGTGCGTGTCTGCGTGTTTTGCAAGAGGAATGCAACAGTTGTTGGGGAGGCGGCAGGGATTCTTATTGGAGGGGGGGGGTGTCTGCAGAGAGAGTGGCCGTGAAGAGATGCTAGCTATGATTCTGTGTTAACAGCCCTTTTTATTGTCCTGTGAAACCCCCCACCCCACCATTTAGACTTTATTTTTTCCATATAATTTGGTTTCCTTTTCTCTGCTTAGGGTAAAGTGGCGGAGCGAGGCACCCACCAGGCTCTGCTCAGCACCGCTGGCAGCCTATACGGAAACCTCTGGAACGCTCAGAACAGCAGAATCCTGAACAGCAGCAAGAACTCGGCCGAGCCGCGGGCCGAGCGGCTGTCCCAGAAGGAGGAGGAGAGGAAGAAATTGCAGGAGGAGATCCTCAACAGTGTGAAAGGCTGTGGGAACTGCTCCTGTTGAGAGAAGCTGCCACCCACCATGTTTGTTCATCCCTCACAGATGGCCTACACTGGAATCCCTGGTCTGCGTGCTATTGGGCAGGCGGGTACATCCCCCACTACCCCACTACCCACTCCAGCCAAAACCCTGTTATTATGACTATCTCTCCTCCTCTCCATGGAAATAAAGGCCAGCGCTTGCCAAAATGGAGGAGGAGGAGCAGGAACAGGGAGCAAGAGTGTTTAGCACTGGCTGATGTCCAGAGAGAGAGAGAGAGAGAGCTTATATGCCAGTTGTCTCAGCTGAAGCAAAGCATAAGAGACCTTGTATATCACATACGTGCGTGCAAGACATCTGTTAGTCAACATGGTTGCCCCCTCCTCCTCATTTTTTTTTTTGACATCAGGTTTATTGACATCTTCCTCTGCTCTGGAAACAGATGAGCGTACATGTAATGACTTTCATATGCCTTGATAATGATGCAGTTTGTATTGATATGATTTTTAAAAACAATTCTTTACAAAAGGAATGAAACTTAGGTTTGGTTTTTATATACAAAGGGTGTATACGTGCAGCAGGCTGTGCTGCAGTATGTTTGCCCGTCACGTTGTTCTCGACATTTATTCTGAAAATGTGAAGATGTGCAGATGATCTGATCCCAGTAGAAGGTGATATATGTATATTTTTTATCTTGTTTGCACGAGTTATTTTGTGCAAACAAGTTCATTATCCTGTTCACACAATTATACGATAAAACTGACTTGTGGAACGTCAAGGCCTTTGTACATCATTTAGATGGCGGCACTCAAAAAAACACTGAACAGCTCCCCCGTGAACTGCTCGTATGTCACGGTCACTTTCATGTAAGCATAACACTGAGACTAAGAGGAAGGAACTCTAATAAATCATGGACGGGTCTCACTACAATTTGAGCTTCATTTACAGGTAACATCTTAAAAGCATTTTTTTAACCATCATATCCCTTAGCCTTGGTTGACAAGCCTCTTCTGATGCAGTTATTTGGGAAGATTGATATTTTTTTGAGTGTATGACCAAAGTAAAGACTCTTTCCGTGTGAAGGTTACGTGTAGATTTGGAAAGACGGACAGTGCACACACACCCTCTCTTTCTGAGGGTTGCTTTAGTTACGAAGCATTTTTTTGTTTGGACCATTGCTATAATTTATCTAAAAATGAAGAAATTTATCACTGGGTGTCTTTCACACTCTGCTTCATAGTGCTTTGGACTATGTTGGTGTGTTGGTACAATTCAGATTAATAAATGTTGGCTTTTCTCTAAATAACAATGATGTCGGCTCCATATGCTTGTTCTGTTTTTAATTTCAGAGCTATGACGATGTATAAAACAAGATTATAGGCATTTATTTTTTCTATCATGGTATCGGGGTTGACACGTCTAAGAGCGATCACAAGATGACACTCAGAGCAGTGCACATTTCTTAGTCATTGATTTTTACTTTTTTAAAGGAATAGTTGTGAAATGTGCCTGTTTCCCAAAAGGTTTAGAAGAGATGTTTAAAATCATATGTGGTTTAAAGCTACAGCAAATTAGCATGTCTTGTCTAATTAGTACAAAATATATACATGTGTTATATGTTTTGTTTAGCAGCTGTTTTTATGCCAGACCAGTTCTCAGTCGTGCAACACATAACATGAATCTAAGTGCAATACCAAACTGGAGTTGATAAAATCTGATCATGAATTAAAATCTAAGGTGTCTAAACTCATTAAAGGTGTTGCTGGGTTGAGATTAGCCGACGTTCATGTACAAATGTGACAGAAAATGGATTCAGGCTTTTTGTTCGTCTGCCAGAAAGTGAAGCAGGCTATTTACAGAAATATTCAGCTGTCTTTATTTTGCTACTTTGACCTCCAAAAACATTCAGATTAATGAGAAATGAATGAAATGTTCGCCTTAAACGCTCACTGCTCGATTCAACGTGTCAGCTAGCATAACAGTTGAATTTTATTTGCATTAATCTATATTTATATTTGTTTTATTTGCCCTTCAAGACATCAACGTATCACTAAATTGTCTCAGTTCAGCAACAAAAATCTGGTATATCTTAAAATTGCATTTTTAATTGACATAAACCTCAGTACATTCAGCACCTTGTGATCTCGACATAAGGTTGCTAAACAATCACATTTCTGACAAAGTTTGGTTGCAGCTTGTAAAGCTGGACTAAAAATTGATTCCATGCTCATTCTATACATGTGTGCAGCTCAAAAAAACAGCATCTGTGGTGGCGTGTGGGTGTAGTGCACACGGCATGGGTCACTTCCAAGTGTGGGAAAACTCCATTAATGCTAAAGAACATTAGTCTGTACGTTTTGGAGGAACAATACGCTGCCATCTGGATGACATCATTCTCAGGGAGCGCTTTGCTTACTTTAAGACAATATCACTAAATAAAAGACAAAAAGGCGTAAATCTGCCGCTACATTTTTGAAATGAGTTGCTGGCTTTCATTTAAAATATTTATTTTCAAAAACCACAAAAACGTTTAGCATATAAAATATTACAAATCCATAATTACAACATAAGGCCCCATTTTTGTAAAGGCTCAAGATTAACAAGGAAAACTGATGTGATCTTAAATATAAGAATTGCTTTTAATACTTGGATAGAAATCAATCTAGAACACATGAATATCACAAAATGCTGTGTTTCCTCCCTTGAGATACTCTGTCAGGCACTTACTGCAGCTGCCTTCAATTACTGCTTGTTTGTGGCCAGTTTTATACATAGTAGTCCATTTTCAGAGGATCAGAAATAATTGTAATTAGGCTTACTAGCAGGAATATCAGATTCACTGCTTGTGAGTGATGACGTCATTAGGTTTAAAAACAATAAACCTACTAAATAAGACACTTTAGGAGATTCCCCAATGATTGTGAATATAGAGGATTTACAGCAAAATACAAACCATTAGTTGCACCCAGATCGGGCTTTTCCAGGAGTACCAGCACAGTTCTGGAAATAATTCTTTGGACAGCTCGAACTGAGATGACATTGTGCCAGAATAATGGCAAAAGAAAAAAAGAGTGCCGCATTATCTTTGAAACATGGTGGAGGTGTTGTCATGGCATGGCTGCCTGTGGAAACCACTGGTGTATATGGCTGTACTCTGCTCGGATTCAGACAAACACTGCAAAACTGACTGATCAGCACTTTACTGTGCAAATGGTTAGCCATCCAAAGCACGCCGCAAAAGCAACCCAAGAGTTTCTTAAGGTGAAGAAATGGGATATTCTTAAATAAACAAGTCACCTGATCTCAGCCTAATTAGAGGCCAGTTACTCAAGATGAAACGAAATCATGAAAAACCCATTTTTCACTGATTTAAAATTGACTGTGTTAATGTTTCAGATGAAAAACTATAAAAATTGTGTCTTTGTCCAACAAATTATGGATCTAACTGTAAAATGACCCATAATAAATATCTCTGCGTTACATACTGGATCTGTGTCAGCCACAAGAGTGGTCAAAGAGATTGTTTCAGCTTTTGCATTTGGCCCCACTAAAGCAGATACGATCTGTCATTAGGAGCGAAGCATCCAAGCTTGGAACGCAACAGTGGCACTAACACGCTCTTCTTGTGTTCATTGTCTGGTGGACAAAATGACACTGGATTCCCCTCAAGAACCCCTGCAGCGTTCTGGATACTCCTCCGGGACCGGAGACATCAGACAACATTTTTTTTCTGTGAGGCCTTTCGGCAGGATTATAATTGAAACTGACAATAACAAAAACATTCCCATAACGTGACAGACCAAGCCCTGCTGCGCTGCATTGTGAGGCCTCCGCCACCTTCTGAGGAAGTCACACATTACAGATGAAAGTAGACTTTGATAAAGCCCTGCTTAAAAGGAACCCAACTGGATGATTACTGGTTGGATGGGTCTTCTTTCATGCGTCAGATGTCCAGGCAGTCGAGTTGATGTTAATGGTGTCCTTCTCATCTAACCTAGGCAGATGAGATTATGAGACTATTCATTAGCGGCTCCCAACAACGTTCAGCTGCTGCCCCTAACAGGTTATTCACTAATTATTCAGTGAACATAACTCGCTATGATCTGCCTGGGTTCTGTGAAAGAGCCTTAGATATAACACCGACTTTTATGTTTTTTCCCTCTTCTTTGCCGAGGCAAAGCTTTGTGTGTGTCTGATACGGTCAAGGACATAACACTCTCAAGTATTGAAGTTACTAAGCAATCCGAGATGGACTTACACAGGCGGGGTGTTTGCTTTCTCGCTTTTTTTATGTTTAGAAACTGAAAATCCTAAAAATCTTTTCTTCGGTGACCTTTAATTGTCTGCATGCTGTGCATGTGATTAGCACTGTTTTGAGCTGTTTGCCTGCATGTTTTAAGGAGGTAATAATATGGGAAGGCATTCCCCTCTTTACTATGCAGCATTCTGCAAGCGTAAAGGAAGGCAGGCGTAAAAAAGCCTCTATTAATGACCTTAATGTGGACCGAAGCAGGCGAGTGAGCCTGTAACGCAAAGCACGACCTTCTAACTGAAGGAGAGATTTTCAAAGAACATGCTGCTGATGTACAGATAGGATGATGTCTTCTTGTTGCGCCCACTCTTTCTGCCTGTACATGGTTAGAACATATTATCCTTCACGGTGATTCAGTGCAAAATTAATATGTAGATCTCTTGAACATGCCCAGAGAGCCACGTCTCCGGTCCCACGACAGCCACCCAGAGCGCACAGGTGATAAAACGCATTCAGCCACACACGTCAAATCCCTGCTGACCCTCCCCTCGGCCTGTTGCTGAACTCCTCCATGCTTATTTTCATCGGGATGACAGGCAGACCAGGCTGAGACTCAGGGCGATCCCTCTGCAGCAGACAGTTAGCTCGCTCCCATCCCACTACAATGGAACCAGCATGTGGCCAAGGGCGTTTACGCCTTAATAAATATGCATCGATGCCTCAGAGAAGATGTAGTTATTTCCACCGTTTTGTGTGGGAGTGTAAATTTATGTGCGTAATCCCAGTGTACTATATCAATGCTCCTGGTCAAAATGAGAATGAATATTCACACATGCGCGCACTTGCACGCATGCAGCTGCTTCTTTTAAAGTCAATAAACACACATACGACGGCATTACCATCTCTGCACAGATACAATGTGCTGCACATGACGCAACCTCTGAGCAGATGATCCAGGACACACATTTTGCATGTGCATGTGTGTGTGTGTGCAGTGTTTGCTGCAGATACCAAATTTAGGAATGTATTTGGAATTTCAATATGTTTGGTCCTCACAGACAAGAATAATTCTCCATTTTTAGCATCATATAAACAGCTGAATATTTTCCAAATCTGATCATGCAAAGTTAAATAGCTCCCTTTTTGAAGGCAGTTGTACTCCTTTTGTTCTCTCTTTTTCTCTCTTTTTTTAAAAGTTTGGTCTCCATTGGTTTGCAATAATGTTGTTACTTTGTGTAAGATGCTAAAGGCTGGCAGATAATAGATGGAGACCCAGTAAAGTGACTACGGCTGCTGTCAAGAAATCCCAGTGGAGTTGTTCCATTATTCACAGTGTGCAGAGTGGCTTCAGGAGGGGGGGGGGGGGCGGCTGTGTCTAAATGACATCATCATCATCAGTAGCGTGGATCAGCAAAAACAAACAAAAAAAAAAACAACTCGGTCAAAGCTACAGCACTCTTCTGAAAAGTAGCGCAGAATTAGTGTCTACTTTAGGAGAGATGATCTTTTCCGAGTTTCAATCTCCATAAGAAAGGTCATGTCTAGAACTACTTCTGGCATTAAAAGTTTGCTTCCTGCGAACATAATTGGTCGTTCATTTCAAACTTTTGAAATGACACGGTAATAAAACTTTCTGAAATCTAGTTGTGTTAAAAAAAAAAAAAGAAATAAAAATTTTAATGTAAAATAAAAATACAAAATCAAAGCTCCATATAACACGGCTTTGAAATCAGACACATGAGAGCTGCATGCGCTTCTTCTGATTGTGGCCTGTTATTGTGATAAAGACTTAAAACTGATTCACAAGATTCACCTGCAGCCTGATCGCACATGTTCAGTTCTGCTATTTGATTTGCAGCCAGTGCATCTCATACAGAGGCGGCAAATTAAGGTCCAGGTAGCCCCCCACCCCCCACCCTTCTTAGACTGCTTGGTCAGGCACGCTGATGCTAATGCAGAGATGGATTCACGCAGGTTACAACTGTCATAATCTTATTGGAGATTTCACACCGACTGTCAAACCTGGTGAGCATCAAAGCCTGAAATTTCAGCATTTAC